GACTATTAAACCTAAACCTAAGAAGAACAACTGAATACGTTTTAAGGAGAAAGATGACACTGACTGCTTAAAACATAATTTCCATGTTTATTTTGAAAATTAGTAAATTGTTACGCTTTTATACCACATTGTAAAAGGTACAAACAGTTTAACAAAATGCGCGCACTGCTCCATCTCTCTATCTGCTTATTCTTACGCTCACTGCCTCCAGCTGGCTTATTACCCGCCTCCTTGGACGCCAGCCCAGAAGACCCTTCTCTACTATCTTGACTGAGGCAGTTCATTAGTTTCCTCTCTCGGCTGTTACCCTCACAATTATTTCTGAAAACAATGATGGTTCTGTTACATATAAATGAGCCACCCTGCCAGCTATACGTCCATCTTTTTTCTCCCTTAATAATCAAAGGTGTGCACTCACCAAGACCCCCTATAACACTGTACCAACACATGTAGCCATTTTTAGGCTGACTCTGAAGAAGATGAATAATAAAGAAAACAACAACAACAAAAAATAGTTTTACAAGAACCGATGTCACTACTTCAAAAGCCACTGCAACAAGGAGACTAAACGATAAAATGGTAAAACCAAAGTGCAAAATCACAAAACAGCAAGTTTGAGATTAACTAAATTGAATGATGAATTATACTTTATTTCAAATTCCCATGACTTGGTACTTTCACAAGATGTACTAAACAATGCATATTCAAGTAATGCGGAAAAATAAAAGAACAATATATCTTTCCTATACTTTCAACACACTTAACACACTCAGTCTCACACATCATACTGTGTAAAGCAAATGTGCCGAGTGCAAACTGATGTAACAGTGGCTAGCACATTTACCATTTGGCTCACAATACATAGGTTTGAATCTACACTGAGAAAAAAAAAAATAGCTGATCTTTCAGGTTCAGCCAGCAAAAAATATCCTGGGAGTTACAGGAGATGAGCATGGTGTTGACCACATCACTTATCAAGAGTTGACTGGGCTAGTAAAATATGGGATTAGGATCATGCACTTATTTCATCTAAAAGCATGAGAAAGAACCCTCAGATTATTTTATGTAGTGGGCTGAATGCTCTCTTTGATCATCAGCTTCATGTGCCATGTCTTTTTCTTCTTCTTTACGTTCACTGGCTGTACACTCCGGCAGAAAGTTCTGGTTGTTTGTCCACTTCAGGATTTTAGTCTTGTTCCAGAACTGAGTATTGCGTGCATATCCATTTTACAAATCTGGCTATTTGTGTGCAGACTTGAGTCCATGCCTCTGAAGCAGATGCTTCAACTTAGAAGGAAACACCCTAATTAGTCGACTTCTACTCACACTTGTTAGACAGCAATGGGTAAATTTTTTTTCCAAACCTAAATGGGTCTCAGTAACCCAAATGGGGAATGTGCCATGTCGATAAGTGTAGGCTGTCATGTTTTATCATATCACATGATCTCCAGAATTACGGATCAGCTCAGTGCTCTTATCTTGCCCCATCCATATGGCCAAGTAATCTAGGTATTTATCTGACTGCCTTCTTCTTGCTCTGTCTTCCACTAATCTAGCTAGTCATTAACAAGCTCTTGAGTCCAATCCTTCTTATAACATCAGAAACATGCTTAGTCTAAATTCTCTAATCAGTTTATGGTTTTGATCTGTTTCTGTTTTTATTTCTCGATGATTGTGATCCATAACTTCATTATTCTTTGAATTTCTCTTTAAAAAAACCCACACCTGCAACATATAAAATTAATCCTAAAGATTCCTTCTCTGATGTATTTGGGAATATTACATGGTTACACCTCAAACTATGTCCAGTAAATGACACCTGCATTTCTTATGTATAAATATCACATAAGTAACACATACAATTGGTCATACAATGGTTCCTTCACTGACATCTTTAGGAAAATTACATGGTTAGACCTCAAACTCTGTCCATACAAACCAAACCATGGTCTTTGTGGATTATGAAATATGCTCACTAACCTCAAAGTATAAATCTGTCCAAAAATAACTATCTTAAATTTTGTCCCTCCATGATTGCAGTGAAAGATTAACATCTTAAAGATGAGAATCAGACAGGTGCAAATTCTGGAAACCATGTTCAACTTCTTCTTCTTAACATTCACCGGCTGTAAACTCCAGCAGAAAGTTCTGGTTGTTTGCCCACCTCTGGACTTAAATTTCCAGAACCTGAGTGTTGCGTGTTCATCCACATCTGACTTATCTGTATGCAGACTGTTGGTTCCTTGCCTCTCAGGCAGATGCACTCCGACTTCAAAAGAAACCCTTAATTAGTCAACTCTTACGACATGCTTTTTGGGGAGGCAGTGACTCTATTCTTGTTTTCTCCACAGTGGGGCCCCAGAAGCCACATGGGGACATGTTCTGATGTATCGTCATATATAGTGGGACACCACAGATGGCTATAAAGTAACCTGTAGTTCAGTGTGGGTGGACTGAGCCAGTATCTTCTTCTTCTTTGACTCCTGTGTTTGTCCGTAAAAAGGCAGTGGGCCCTTGGGGTTTACTGCTGGGCTATGTTATCTGCGCCTTTTGGCTCAAACCATCTGATTTCAGCAAATCCCAATTTATGAAATGTTTTTTTGTGGAGCTGTGGATTTATTCTTTTATCCCCAAAAACCAGGGTGGACTATCTTAAATCTAATGATGAACCAAACTATAAGAATGAAAGAGCTTCCACACCAACAAGCTGCAAACTGTTGAGTGAAACCTGGTGAACTGATTTCAAAAGGTACAATCTGGCATACATCAGAGGCAGCAGGTGTGACTCTCCTCCCTGAAATGCCAAAAAAATGTATAAGAGCTTCCAGACAAAATCTTAGTTACTATAAACAACAAACACTGGCATTATTCATGAAAGAAATAGAGCATTGTAATTAGTCTGCATAATGGACACAGCAGACTACAGTAATATACATTCAAGAAATTCAAGATTGGGGTTTCAGAACTCGGCCATTGTGAACAAGCACCTCAGAATACTGAACATGTGCTACAGACATGCATGCAGTAGAGAGATCCCAGGTTTAGTCAGTTGGCATTGTAATGAAAACTAAACTAGAAAGAATAGTGGAAGACATGTGTCACACCACATACTTCATAGAGACCTGTGGCCTTCTCGTTTGAAAACCACTGGCAGGGAGAACAAAAAGAAGTTGTAGAACAAAAAAAACTTAGATATGATGTCTCCACAATGAAGGTTGACTGCAATGTATCTACTACTAGCTATGGGGATGCTATATTGTACGGTCTCAATCTCTTCCACAGTACACCTCTCGTACCACTGTCTGAAAAATCATAAGAAGTTTTTTCTTAACTACTGACCAAACACAGAGAACTGCAATATGAAACAATTTGACTAACCTCTTAGCCATAGAGATATGCTACATAGAAAAAGGTAATTAGTAAACAAAATATAAAAAACAAATTGTAAAACCACAACAGAAAACAAAAACAAGAAAATTCACTGAAGAATAGAACTATTACAGCAAGTGCCTGCCAGAACAATTTCAGGGCTGGGGATAAAGATTGCCTTTCCTTGAGGACGAGGCAAGGTCATGGGCCAAGTTTTAAATCTCACCCAAAAATGTACATAAACCTTCTCTATCTGGGGTTAAAAGTCTGTTCCTTCTAATCTGAGAGACAAATACATCAATCAACTGGCCACATATGGCCTCTGAGATTGACAAGTGGTCATTTACATCAAACCCTGATAAATACTGATAATACACATTGCAGGCTGAATTAAAACAAACAGTAAAGACCAATTCTGAAAGGCAAGCATGTGAATATGAAACACTTAAAGAACACTGCTGAACACAGTATTCTTCCCAACACTATGCTATCAATGCCAAACAGGGACACTGTCTTCAGAAGACAGAAGAAACATAGTCACGATAGAAATTAAATGTTTACGAACTATGCATTAACATCCCATGAATATTTCTGCAACCACGGGGTATCAACATCAGATTCAAAGGATGTTTTAAACAAGTGAAGAAATTTATTCACCGTCCTACTGTGACATTATGTCATATTTGTGTCAGTCTATTCCTCCATGCCGTTATATCTTGTGCAATCAGTTCGATATCATAGATCAAATCCAGTCCATCACCTTTGGCGTCTCTCATCAGCATTCACATTAGGGTTTCTCTCGAATGTCCTTGTTCCCTCAATAATTTTATTTCCTGTTTCAGTTCCTATTTGGTGATTCTCTGTTCGTCTCTTCTCAGAATGTGTCCAAATTAGCACCATGTGCCTCAAAAATGTTCATTCTAGTGGCTGCTCAGACATTTCTCTTACTGACTGACTTTCTACCCCACCAGCGATAAACACCTAATGACACAATGTACCACCATGTGGGTGAGGATCACCGTGGAGAGGTCCCAGAAACCGTATTCAGCCTTTAGGCCATATTTATGGCCAGGCTATAATGCGGCCCCTGGCAAAAGCCAGAGTAGGGCTTCAAATAACGAAAAAATTCATCCTATAAAGGACGGATGATATTAGGCTGTAATTTCTCTTACTTCTTCACCCCTCTTGAATTCATCCCGATTTCATCATTTTTCTCAGGCACTTGTTTTTGAATGCACTGAATTTTCATTAAATGTCTTTAGTGGTTCTCAAACATTCATTGACATATGTTACAGAAACAAAAATATGTAACTTGGTTCTAAAACTATAATTTTGGGTTCCATATATTATTTCAGGGAGCTGCCGAGATCTACTGGCTAGATGCTCGCCTGCGGATTGGAAGGTCCTGGCTTTGGTTGCTGATGGGGCCAGACTTTTTCCCCTCAGAAATGAAAATGGCTCCCAGGTCGACCCAGCCTTGAGTGGGTACCAGGTACAGTCCTGAGAAGTAAAGACAGCAAGCGTGATGCTGACCACATCACCCACCAAGTGCTGTTTGGTCTATAAAATATAGGTCTAGCCGTATAATAGGTATCCATTATGCCTGAAAGGCATGGAAAAGGGTCTTTTACTTAACTCATATTTAGGTTGCTAATGCCTTACCAGTGCATGTCATAATTTTTCTTTCTTTGTGTTTACTTGACTATCAAGATCATGGCCTAAAAAAGTTAACTGATCTGTTACTTTAAATGTTTTTGTCTCCAGTGTTACATTTGCTTGATCTGTCATTGGTGTCCTTTTACTTTAATTCTTTTTTTTCTCCAGTGTTACACTTGCTTGATCTGTCATTGGTGTCCTTTTACTTTAATTCTTTTTTGTCTCCAGTGTTACATTTGCACAATCTGTCATTGGTGTCCTTTTACTTTAATTCTTTTTTGTCTCCAGTGTTACATTTGCACAATCTGTCATTGGTGTCCTTTTACTTTAATTCTTTTTTGTCTCCAGTGTTACATTTGCTTGATCTGTTAATGGTGTCCTTTTAATTCAATGTTACATTTGCTTAATCTGTTATTGGGTCCTTAAAATATTTTTCTTTTTGAAACTTATGTATAAATGGTTAAAATAACATATCAAAACTATCGTTACCTGTGGGGGTTCCAAGGCCCACATTCTGGTGTAAAATTAAACCCCATAAATATGCTGCAATAACTACTGGTTTACTGAAATTGATGTGTTGGATCAAAAGTCACAAATGTCACAGCTGAGCTGTAAACCACAAAACAATGTGCTAATTAACCTTTTAAGGGTGAATGCAGAAGAAGGAAACAGTTTCAACACAGGATTAAAAAAAAAACAACAACTGTCAGTAAATAAGGACCACACATGATACTTACAGTAAGAACATGGTATCTACTGTAGTGTGCACTCACACATTTGGTTAAGGCAATAATAAAACTGGTCACCTGTTGGCGCAAAAGACAGAAAATGTGAGACTTACTTAAAGCAGTGACCTTCATGTTCATTATATAAGTAAAAATTGTGTCTCTCCACAATGGAAACTGTGGCAACAGTGTATCCACCGCAAACGTTGGAAATTCTTGTCCCTTTTCTCCTTTCATTCACTTGAAATAAACTGCCAATTACTGCAGTGTAAGGGGAGGGGGATTCATTGAGCCTGATTTAAGGCTGCATGGCTAGTCGCTTGAAATAAATTATGTATATCTGTATTGCTGTCTTTATTATGAATTTTACTGTCTTTTATAATTCACTTAGCGGCCCGTAAAGTTGGGCTTCCATCAGTGTCTGGACCCAATGTAATCCTTTCTGGAAACCACGGCCATAAACAATTTATACTGTTCATTCTGCCGGACTAGCTACAAACAAAGGCACACACACGCGGGAGACAGAAGCTGCTACTTCCCGCTCCATGCCACACCGCTGCTGTCTGCATGTATTAATGATCTGCAAAACAGCCCGCCCTTCCCTGGCCTTTAACAAGCCATTTTGGCTGCAAATAGCCAATAATCAGCTGCCCTCACACCTGAAACGACCATACAGCGAAAGTAGCCAAAAACTAGCCAAATGGCCCCAAAAAAGCCAAACGGCTCCCCAAAAATTGCCTGTGCTGAAAATCACAGGATTTCTGACGGATTTCATTGCAGCGGTCAAAATTCACAGCTTCTCAGGGTCAGAATGTCTTTATTAAGCTTAAAATCACTGTTCCTGGTCCCAGAAAAAAATTCCCGGTAAATTCAAGATTTCCCGGTCCACTACGAACCCTGTGTCTCTCTTGGTCAGAAGTTGTCCCTTGATATGTTGTAAATGGAACATTTTTGGAGAACGTGATCTGTTGTCTCCGGTGCCGTTCACATATGCACCAATCTGAAATGTTGTGTACATGTGGCTGTGAAGTCAACTGTGTCCTGTTTTAAGCAGACTGTGGAAATATTGCACAGTGAGGCTCAAACTCTTCTACGTTTTGACTCTTGTACCACTGCCAGAAAGCAGTCCTTCTCTAAACCACCCACTATGAAATTCGAACCTTTGGCGAACACCAAGAAAGGATGTTACTAACCTCTAAGCCACCACCTTCATAAGGCAGTACGGTGTAAGTAAAGTGAATGGTCTCAAGTCAAATCTTGAGGGTCTCTATGTGGGTTCTGTGGCCCATTGGGAGGGAGAAACTTACAGATTCACTGTCCCCCCAGCAAGCGTTAGGCAAGGAACCAACAGTCTGCATATAATAAAGCCAGATCTATAAAATGGATGTCCATGCAAAACTAAAGTTCTGGAATCCAGAAGTGGATCAACAACCAGAACATTTATTTAGTTATTTTTGTGCTTAAGTCTACAGCTGGTGAATAAGAAATCTTTAGCCAGAATAAATGAAAAAACCTTGTTTGATTTTTTTTGTTTTGTTTGTTTGTTTGTATTTAAATCTTTATCCTCTGATCAAGTGTTATAAATGTTAAACTTGAGACAGAGGCCACATCAAATGAAAAAGTAACATGGTTACACCTACTGCTAAAAGATCTTGTTGTTGTACAATGTCTTTAGAAATTAGTTGCAGAGTCAACATCAGCGTTTGTTGGCTGTTTGGTTTTACTAGGCAATTTTATGCCCAGTAGTCTGCTATTGCCTTCTTAACTGTCGGCACTCAATACCACTGTCAAAATCAAGGCAAGGTGGTCTGTTGTCAAATCTCTCACAGCTGGAATCAAACCAAGGTACCTTGGTTTTATGAAGTACCCTAGCAGCACCTAAGCGATAGACGCCGACTGTGATTCACAGCAATATACTTAGTTTCAAAATACCAAATTTGTGAAATATAAACAAAATAAAACTGACTTTGTGAGTGTGGATTTTAGCCAGATATTTTCCATCCTTTGGAAACACTTCCTCCACCGACTGTCGCAACACATCAGGAAATGCCGCTACATACAGGTATACTAGTTCCCAGTCTTCCTGCAAAGACAATACATCAGCATACAAATTCTAACAAGCATTACATATAACCATGTGCTGAAAAGTAAATATTCTAATGAACAATCAAACCTCCTTCAGTCATTTGACAACAGTGAAAAAATTGAAAATGCACATGGAAAATGCAATGACACAGACATGTAACAAAATCTGCTGACCACTCAGAAATGATATTCTAGGTTCTAAAGAGGGAAAGAGGCAGACCAAGAAAGACCTGCATCAGAATTTGGCTGAATGGACAGCCTCAAACCCGTAAACATCATGTCCATTTGTAATGAGGTGATTTCCCCACGCGTTCCCAGACGGGTACGTAGGATCAAAGGTAAGTCAAGGGAATAGGACGCGAAAAAGAAACTGCTCGCAAAATCATGGGTTTAACTGAGTAGTGGAAGGGTGATAGCATAAGGAAACCAGAGAGAGGTTTTAAAAGTGAAACCAAGATCGAATCAGTTTGCTAGGCAGCGAGAGTGACTGGTGGTTTGAGAGGTATGTGACTGCTACGAATTGTATCTGCTGACGTGTGGAGAAGTCTGATTCTTCAAGATGAATGCCTGACCAGAAGTTATTCAAGTGACACCCAGCCTGACTGTGAAGACTGGCAGCAGAGTGTCGGAGATGCAAACTCGACGCCTGTGTGTTGCCTGAATGATCCACTAAGAAAGCAAGGTAATTATTGCTGACAATTTTGAACATCGTAGGTGTATATTGTAACATGTGATTATTGAATCTCAGACCTAAAGAGATCAGAAGACAGCGACTAGAGGATATTCTGTGTAGAAGAGAATAAATATTTGAACTATAAGTTTGCTTTCTCATCATTATATGTGTGCATTGATCGTCTATTTAAGAAGCCATCGCCACTGCCTAGATATCCAGCTATCACACATAGAAAGCAATACTCCTCCATTGCTTTAGACTAACAGAGATGCAGCAATCTGATCAGACAGTCAACAGCAACTGGCGACCAAAAGGCACATGATGTAATGGGATTAGGATAATAATGATGATGAATTCATATAAATATTACCATAACAGATCTGTCTACACAGCTGACATTCAGAGTTACCATACTTTCACATTAAACATTGGGTTCACAGAAATTCAGAGAGTTCAATATAAAGCAACAGACTCTGATATATAACCAAGAGTTTACTCCCCAATAATCATGCCACCGTTACACATAATCAAGTGTTCACTCGTGTACAGTAACGTGACTGTAACACATAACCTAGTGTTCACTTCCAAGTTTTGCATGCACATCAGTTTTACAGATGTTTTGTTTGTATGCAGACTATTGGCTCACTGTCTCTCAGACAGATGCATTCTGACTCCAAAGGAAACATCTCTAATTAACTGACTTTTATCAGATGCTTGTTTAAGGGGGGAGAGGGCAGTGGGTCTATTCTTTTATTACCCCCTCCCCTTTTCCTTCACCAAAATAGGGCCCCTGAACCTTCATAGAGACCATGCCATCGATACCTTTAACCAAGAGTTTCCTAGTCAATAATCATGCCATTACTATAACCAAAGAATGCTAGCACAACATCTGATGTGACAACACATATTTCCCACCATATTTAATTCTGAGGTTCTGTTGGGAAAAACATATTTCATGAAATGGACCAACATGTCAGTACAGCAACTGGGATTTTAAGATTACTTACTTCTTCTCTCAGTAAGTTTAAATCTATGTCCTCCAATGGTGGTAAAGGTGGATATATGCCTAGACAAGTATACAGGTAACTGTTTATATTGTATAAAGCGTTACATGTAAATACAAGAAAACATATTCTTCTTTTCTTCTTCTTCAGCATTCCAAGCCCTTGAGGTTCACTGCCGCAGACATCACCAAACTTTATACTTTCCCTTTGACTGGCTCAGTGGCTTTTCCCAACTGATGACACTACAAGTGTTTGCAGGTCTGCATGTTTATTACATCTTCAACATCTTGGTCTACCAAGCGATCTACTCTCTTTTATGTACCCAGAAAACATATTGTTCAGAGACATGTAAAAAATTGTAGACCACGAGGCAGACCAAGAAGATGAGGTAGAGATAATGTCCAGACAGACCTGCAAACAGTTGGTGACACCAACTGGAAAGAGAAGGCCAGCTAAAGAGAGGCAACAATGAACCTCAAGGGCTTGGAGTACTGAAAAAGAAGAAGAAGAAAAAGAAACTGAAAAAGAAGAAGAAGAAGAAGAAGAAGAAGAAGAAGAAGAAGAAAAAGAAGAAGAACAAAAAGAAGAAGACATGTAAAACCAGAATAATTCAAAACAATAAAAATTAAGGACTTCTCACAAAATGGATGAGTGTTAAAAAAAAAAAAAAACCACGTGTAGTGGTGCATAAGAACACTACTGGTCAAGATCTATCTACACCAAAGCAGACATGACGGATGTTTTCTTTGCAGTTGAAGGGCATCTGCCTCACAGGCAAAGAACTAACAGTCTGCACACAAATAAGCCAGATTTGCAAAATGGAAGTGCACACAACACTCAAGTAATGGAAAAAGATAACACTCCAGAAGTGAATGAAGCACCAGGAGTTTATGCGGATGTTTGAGGGTTGTGAACATGAACAAAGTTCTCTTTTTCAGACTTCAGTCCTTGGTGTTCTGGGTCATTTCTATTCATTATAATCCATTTCAACTGATGAAAATTCTCCACGCAATTATCTTAGATCATCTATCATCAATTACCTATCTATCAATGCCTTTTTTACCATAGCGGTCATGGTGTTCTCCCATGGCCTCTCTTTTCATCATGTGAGCCAAGAATATTGTTTGTCCTTGTTCTTAAAGCTGGAAATAATGTTTAACTGGACATAAGGACCCTTTTCCACACATTCAGGCGTATTGGGAATATAGGGCTAGACCTATATTTTTATAGACCATTCAGCATCTGTAGGGTGATGTGGTCAGCATACTTTGGCCACCTTTACTTACCAAGACTGCACCTGGAAAGCATTCTAGGCCGGGTCAACCTGGGAGTCAAGGTCATTTTAAAAAAAAAGCCCAGCTCCGTCAGGACGTGAACCCACGACCTTCCACCCTGCAGGCTGGCGTCTAGCCGCCAACACCATGGCGACTCCCATTTAAGAGGACATGATTTACTTTTAAAATGTGGTTATCAAAAAGTAGCAGAATTTTACCTTTCTGTACAGACTGGTTAAAGCGTGACATCAGAGTGGCTAGTCTAGCAACATTGTACAGCACAAAAGCTCCCATGCGACTCTCAGCTCCACAGTCTGTACTGCTTGCATCAAGGTGAAGCTTCAAATTAATTTAGCAAATATATCCAAGTTACTGAATCATAATGGAGCCCTAAAGCACAGTTGCTAGACTCCTGTCTGCTGGCTCAAAGGTCTTGAGTTTAAATCTGTATCAAGGGGGATTTTTTTAACTGACCTGAAATCCCAGGTTGACCCAACCCAAACTGAGTACCAGGAAATGTCACAGAAAGTAAATGAGGCTGACATGATGTTGCCCACACCAGTCACTGAGTACTGACAAGTATATAAAAAATATGTCTAACATCACATGTCATTTGGGTTTTTAGCAAGAGAAAGGTTCTTGACTTTTTCTTTTGTGAATGATAACAAACAATACATTTATTGTCTGTAAGTTATTTTTATGAAACTGTCTTTTATTCTAACAGGTTATTAGCTCTTTCAGTCCCAAATAAAGTCTCATATGTGACAGCATGACCTTTCTCGAATACCAAATACAACATAATTTGTTGTCTTGTTTTGTAGTTTGGTTTACCCGGTTAGGTTCACATAAATCTACCCAAACAAAATAGGTCACTTTTCATTTACAAGTTTGTTGGGCTAGTCGACTTTCCTGAATGTTACGGGTGTGTCCAGCTCTGTTGTTTGCTTTCTGCATTTTCTTGCACTCATGTTTTCATTCTGAGAAAGAGAATGCCTAAGACATAGGTTTGCAGCACTCTCTAGGAGGGTTGTGTTAGGGTCAGTTTCTCCATGTTTTTAGAGTGTTAAAAGCGCTGGTGTGCTGAAATATAAAACACATAATATCAACAGCGTCGCGGAACACCCCTCTGACCTTGTGCGAAGGGCATGGGGCTCAGGAACTATTAATCAAAAGTTAGTTGGTGTGTATATGGGCGGGCCTGGGAGAGACTAACATTACGTGTTCCATTTATCCTTTTGCCCTGAGAAGCCATTTTTCAACTTTGTCAGCCATTACAAATCCCCAAATAGTTGATATTCCAGCAATATGGCCAATCCTGGTAGGCTTATACAAAAGCTTTAGTATCATTTGTTCCTGCAAAGTGTCTAGAAATGTCGGACATAACTATACTTATTAAAAATGGTTTCTGAGAGAATTTTACTGTGGACAAATTACCTTTTTAGTCATCTTGACATTATTAAATTTTTTGTAGCCCTGTTGGAATGTAACCATTTCATTCTCTGCCTTATTCATGTATGCTGATTACTCTTCTTTCATATATTTATAAAAACACATTAAAAAAAATGTACATAAATAAATGCTTTTCAAAATGAATTAGTGACTTAAGTAAAATAGGGTATTTTCAAAGGATCCGAAAAGGTGAGGATTAAGAAGAAAGGATTAAAACATTATAAAATAATATCAGTTTGCTGACGGCCACTTCTGTGTGTGCCAAGAGCATATATTTAGCTCTTAAAAATAATGTGTTTAATGGTGGTTACCTCCCATTTACGTCCAGCACTTATAGATTACTGACTGGACAACACAAATATTGAGCTAGCACTGTATGTTTGACGTTCCTCAAGGTGTAATGATTGTCTTTTACATCTCACATTGGATATCTGCTAGGAAAATCTGAGACTGAAAGTTTTGCATGAAGACTGGTATGAGATATAATTCATTAACCTGGCATTTCTTCTCTGGGCATTGAGTTGGGAGTTCATTAACAACGAAAGGCTTGAGAACGGCCATGAACAAAACCAGAAGCAATCATGTGAGAAATTATGAGTTTAAAAAAAAACAAAAAAAGACAGAACAATATCCGTCATTAAATTCAGTGACAAACAAAGACTGAAATGGTTTGGCCACCTGGAGAATAAACATCTTTCACATCTGTGTGCTTTAGTACTAATTTTGGAAGGTATAGTAAAGAAGTGGCTAGCACATTTGCATGTCAGTTCAGAAGTCTTTTGTTCAAAACGTATTATAAATCCTGCCTATTACCTTTTATATTAACAGTATGTATTATACAAAGTAATTCTACATGAGTAGCCAAACTAGAATGAATTTAACCTTTCTGACAGGGTGACATTATTCTGGTTATGCATTCTATTAAAGTCGGCATCTGTGGCTTAGGCGTTGCGAACAAGCTTCAAAATGCCAGGGTGCCGGGTTCAATCCCAGCTGCAGGTCTTGAACCTTGCATTGGTTTTGACAGTGGTATCAAGAAGCCAACCGTCGTGAAAGCAATAGCAAACTACTGGGCGTAAATATGCCTAGAAAAACCACAACAGACAAAAAGAAATATGCTGGGGCAGGTTCTACAATGTCCTGTAAAGAATACACAACTAACATTTTTAACTTCTATTACAAATCCCAATCTTTTTATAATGAAACACGATGCTGTGTAAGAACTGATTCCGGCAATTCTGACTGGTTCCCGGTGGAAACAGGAGTGAAGCAAGGCTGTGTCCTATCGTCGATGCTTTTTGGTATAGCAATCGACTGGGTCATGCGCAAGTGCATAAATAACGCAAATTTAGGCATTACATGGGCTGACAAAATTCTGGAAGACCTAGACTTTGCCGACGACATAGCACTTCTGAGTTCAGAACACACAGATGCCCAAGAAAAAATCAATCGACTCCAGAATTTCTCAGAACAAATTGGATTCCAAATTAACACCGCAAAAACAAAAATTCTAGACCTTACCAACAGTTCAGTTGATATCACGCTGAACAACAACAGCCTTGAAAAAGTCAACAGTTTCACTTATCTAGGGAGCAAGATGTCATCTACAGGAGATACCGCACCAGAAATACCATTTAGAATAGCACTGGCATCTAGTGCCTTCAATAAACTGTCCAACATCTGGAAATCAAAGACACTTAGCAAACACACAAAACTCAAGATCTTCAATTCTTGTGTGATTCCAGTACTAACCTATGGATGCGAGAGCTGGAAATCAACAAAAACTCTAGACACAAAATTAGACAGTTTTGAAAATAAATGCCTTAGAAGAATACTAAATTTCAAGTGGTCAGATTTCCGAACCAATACACAAATAAGGCAAGAATCCAGGCAAGAGTATGTGTCTAATTTTATACGAAAACGCCGCTGGAACTATGTCGGCCACGCCCTTAGAATGGATAAATCAAGACTTCCTTACCAAGCCCTCATTTGGACACCACAGGGGAAAAGATCTCGTGGAAGACCAAGGGAAACCATACGTAGAACTATCATCAGGGAAGGCTCACTCATGGGCCACTCAAACATCCAAGACCTACAACAGATTGCAACGAACCGCCATGCATGGAGAGTCATGACCTCTGCCCTATGTGCCGCACTCGACACAAGAGGAAAGACTAACTAATTACAAATCCCCAATATTTCGGCTTTACAGCAGTCGTCAGTCTCCTGCCTATATATAAGCTTTTATATTGTTTGAAAGTGTACATTGCTCATATGATTAAATTTTCATAACAAACAGCATTTGTAGGACTTTTATTATGAAAAAAGACTTCTTTTAAGTCATTATTATTATAATTTGCCCTAAGCAGTTGTTTCTGCACCATGACTCTGTGACTAAAACATAATGGTTTTTCCAACCAAGGGAATGCATTCATTTTATTCTCTGCGCCATTTATCTTTCCTTGACTATTTCCACACATATATTTCTAAACAAATTTTGTTACAATTTGTGTAACTTTAGTCAAAAAGTTAGATACCATTTTTTTTTTTAGCTTTCTCAGGAATCTATGGTTTGCCCATCCCTCCTCCCCAACCATGGGATTCTGAGACAATTGATCAACTTATTCTCAAAAAGGGGGGGGGGAAAAAGAGCACAAAATCTTACTGAATTGTGGCAAGTATTTGCTAGGAGATCCAGTTTTATACTGGCAGATGTAAGCAGCTCAATCTGTCTGTGGTCTGAAAGAAAACAAAAATGAAGATATGTTGTCAAATGACCCACACAATTATATAGCAAAAGAAATAATTCTTTGAAAGATAAAATATAATTAAACTCATTATACAAAAACTAAATAATCAAATAATCAATATAGAGAAACTGAATTTATCAAACAATCACTATACAAAAACTTAATTGACCAAGTAATCAATACACAAAAACCAAACTGATTCAAGCTGACTTAAAGGATATTATAGATTGCTCTGCCTAATGCAATACTGGCCACATCACTCCACATACGTTAGTTTGCCAGTGCCTGGCTGAGTGGTAGGAATGCTTACCTCTTTTTCAGGAAACCCAGATTCACTTTCTCTTAAGATGATGGGCATTTTGTCTACCCGTGGCAGACATAAAAATCAGAATCTGTGACTGTGCTAGCCATGCACCTCTACATAGTTCTGCACTATCCTAAAAAGTGGTAAACTCAGGTAGTAAAGAAAGCTTGCAGCCTAACTGGCTTGGAAAATATGGGTCTAATATATCCCCGATATAAAAAAGTTAAATGTTTGAAGTTTGAACAACAGATCAACATCATGGCACACGGGTAGTAATCCATAAGTGTTCCGTTCTTCTTCTAACTCAAGTCCGAGTCCAAAAAAGCTCAGCACAGTGCACAAGCTCTGTAGGAGCAGCGAGAATCCAGAAATGCTTTGGGTAGATTTAAACTGGCAATTTAGCCCAGGCACCACCGTTAGGCTACTCTTTTCGATTTCCAGCTGCAAAGGGATTTTTTACGAGTGCGACAATGCACACAAGTGTCCGATCTCACTACCCAGAGATTAGTCCACGAGAAGTTAAATGTAGAATAGCCCAAGCAAAATGCTTATTCACAAAATGAAGAATGTTCTTTGCAGTCTTGCTTTGTATTAGAATTGACTGAAAGTGAACTGTTGGTCAAGAACAAAGACAAACCAGCTATGCAGCACATCACATTCAGCAGCAGGGAACCAGTCCGAAATCTAATGTAATTTATGTGTAATTCCTGCTGTAATTTTCCAACAATCACTGTTATATAGTAATATTTCAAAGATGTTATTTAAATGTTTAATGCACAATAGAGTGATAGTATATATGGTCATCTGTTTAACTTCACAGGTATAGATAAATCAGCACGTATTAAGTGCAGCTATGTCCATGTGAAAACTATTGCTGCAAAAATTGTGTTCACTTAAACTTTTATAATACAACTGATCAGACTCCCTTCCCCCATCTCCCCAACTTGATTAAAAGTAGGTCTATCTTTTTCTGTAAGCACTGAGTTTCATCTAGCTCATTGCTGACCTATTCACCAGGTATGGAAAATCTGTTGAACATTCCACTTGAGCCCTGAGTCTTCAACACGCCTACTACCTTACCACTATGCACCAGCCATCAGAGGAGCAGCACAGTCAAATCACCAGCCTACTCGTGACCGTACACACCCACGTATCTTAGGCATAAAATGCTTGCCTTCTTCCCAATACAATTCACTCTACATATATTTAGTTATCTTTCAGCATACACATTAGTGATTAATCTTACAAGAATTAAATCATGAATGAATCAAAGTGACCAACAGGCAGGTTTCACATTATAAAGCATATGCACATTACCCGAACTTTCACAGCCATTTCTAATCTCTGAAGCATCTTTCATTTGCTGAAGTCTCCTCCTGCAAGAGGATTAAAATGTGTTAAACAGGTTGCTGCTGCCCTGTCCTCTTATTTTCACTAGAGATTTTCTACATTCAAGCAATTAGCATTATTTGTGCTATCACATTACAACAAATTTTTACCGGACCAAGAAATCAACATCAGGATAGGTAAGACAGCAAATCAGTGAGCAGATTAATAAAATCAACTTGGGAGATCATAAATCACATGGTTAAAACAAAAACCCTTGTCTATCAAGCTTGTTTTCTCAGCACACTGTGGTAGTGAAACTTTGTTGACCTATTTTTACAAGGATGAATGGCTAAGTATTTGAGTTTCCTGAAACAACTCTGACACTCAGCCATTCCTTCCTTGATGGTCAGATCCTGAAGAATGTCAGTGTTTTTCTCATCGTTGGTGTTTACTACATTCAACACGGTCTTGATTAAATGATCAATGAAAATAAAAATTAATATATGTAAAGACTTTAAAACAAGCAGTATACTTACTCATAAAAAGCATCAGCTGTTTCTATACACAATTTGGAATCTGCTGTTTCTGCATGTTTGGCTACAACTGGCCCTACAACTAGCAGACTCTATTAGAATAGAATGAATACAAATTTGCATAATTAAATAACAAGCAGATCAATAGGTAAACACATGAAAATCAAGATAGTAATAAATACACTGTAAACATAGACCAGTAAAACACAGAATAACTGACAGCCTTAATGGAACCATAAGAATATTGTAAACAGCCTTTATGAATGTGTCAGCGTCACGTAGCATGAAACAGCTTATTACAGTAACATATAAAACCTGGTGCAGCAGCAGCTGGATGAATGGTTAAGAACACTGGGCTGTCATGCCGAAGAACCCTTGGTAAGGTTGCAGAGTTTCTTTCAGAAGCAACAAAACCTTAACCTGCAGTCCGTGGCGACAGCACTAGCAATATGGCCCTAAAACCTCAGGCTCAAATACTCACCTGTCTACGGCATAAAAGTGGTAAATACAGGTATGTCAGGTTGAAACTATGCATGGATATTGTTGGATATATAAATGAATTTCAGATTTGTATGACAGGGTTTCTGCTGGATTGTTCATAAGGATACAAGGTCAATAACCATGAATCAATGTACTGTTGGAATGAATAGGTTTAATAGATGCAGGAGGATAACTGTGTATACTGAAAGAATCAGGATAATTAATATATCTGACTTATTTGTATCCGTACCTATCGGCACTCATATCACTGGAGACGACCACACTCGTCATCATGGGAACTGCAAATCTCAAGTGGGGCTGTCGACGCCTGTGGCTTAGGAATTGCAAATTTACTTTGATAAAAGCTGCGGGCCTTGCGCTGGTTTTGACAGTGGTATCAAGAAGCCGACCGCCCAGAAAGCAATGGCAAACTACTGGATGTAAATTTGCCTAGAAAAACCACAACAGACAAAAAAAAATGCGGGGATTTGGTTTTACAACATCCTGTAAAGGATATGCAACTAACTCTCTCTCAAGTGGAACCCACAGCCTTTGATCATTAGCCCTCCTGACTATTTTAAGTGCAGCCATCATCTCAAGTGACACTGTCCAAAGGTTCTAGGGTGGAAATGGCAGTTGAAGAAAATAAATTTATTAAAAAAATATACAGGGCTGGTGGCTGGCACTTTTAAACTGAAGATATTAGAGTGGCATGTCTTGTACAGCTGCCACGGACTGTGCATGTTAGGAATTTATTTGTCCACCAACAGAAACAAATCACTTTATCAAAGATGTAAGCATAAGTTTACTAAAAAAAAACAGGCCAGTCTTCGAACGAAGAAAAGCATGTAAAATGTGACTAGATAGTCACTTTTGTGCTCGGACTAGCTGAGCTGCAATATTTGAGATGCTATTTTCAGTACTGAGTAAGGCAGTTCATATGAAAGTCTTTTTACCCTAAGATTAGCTGAGTTGCATTCTTTTGTATGCCATTTTTAGTACTAAGTTAGGCAGTCCATTTTTTCTTAGTGATGTTTAAATGATTTGACAGACAATATTAATGTGTTTTTTAACTGCTGATAACTCTTGCCATTGTATATTCCCTTGTTCTTCGTCTTCTTTTTCTCTTCCATCTTGTACCTCAGAGAAGTGTCAGGAGGAGAAGTAACGTTTTTTGATGAGCTCTGTCAAGAGCACTATGAAGATTGATGTTCATTTCTGTAAGGCTGTTCTTAATGCCATCACTCCAACATTTCCAAGGTCTTCCACTCGCTCTATATTCGTTTCAGTTTCAGGCTAGCTGTGGTAGATAGTACCAGGGCATTCTTGTTAAGTTTCCAAACCAATTCATTTGCTGTTATTTGATGACCTGTAAGACTGGCTTTATTCCTAGCATTCGTCTGATTTCGTGATTCATAATTCTGTCTTTCCTTGAAATTCCAGCAGCTCTTTTAAGGCATTTCCTCTCTGTTGTCACAATTTTACGTTCATTAGAGGATGTAACTGTCCACGTTTAGCATTGATTGCATGGTGTTGGCCAAAAAATAGTTCTAATAAGATTAACTTCAAGTACTGCAGGGTATCTGCTTGTGTGTCAACACTGCAAATCAATATCAAGACATTAACTGAAAAGATGGGTGTGGAGAATAATCATCACAAATGAATGATGCAATATTTTTTAAGAACTATAGGCTTATCACTACCTGTTGATACTGTTGATCAGAGAGGGCTGCTAGTGTCAAAAGTATTTGCTGCTGTGTAAAAACTTGGTTCTGTGGGACCACATGCACGCAGTAACAACATTGCTGCAAATAAAAGAAAAAAAAAGGATACAAACTCTTGTCACTGATAGCTTGTTTTAGAGCTATTTTAAATACTCAAATAGTGTCTGAAAAAAAAGAATTTTTTTGAAGAAGACCAATAAACTGTCCAAGAGTGAATTTAAGGAACATTCAAGACAAACACAGGAAACCATAACACTGAGGTACAACCTGATATCAGTGAGACAACGAAATAAGGAAAAAGAAGAAGATAAAAACCCACAAAAACGGTCTAAAGAAGCACATGTCAAAGTCACACAAGACCAAACTACAGTAAAGCAGAGATATTATGACAACCCATATAAAACCAAAAAACAAAAAAAAAACACAGTTGAAAAAGGAACACACCCAACCAATTAAAGACTAAGATTATATCCATGGAGAGGGGGGGGGGGGGGGGGGCATATTTTCTACCTATCATCTTAAGCATTCTGTTGGCATCAATATGTCACACAGGGCTAGTAATTTAGTCTTCCATTCTGATTTATCATGTGCAGTCCTTTTGATATCATAGATGGAATCCAGCCCAGGACGTTTGGTATCTCTCATGAATGTCTGTTTTATGTTTCTGTTAGCTGTTCCAGTTTCCTCAACCCAGATTTGTTTCCATTTCAGTACCAGTTTAATTATTCTCTGCTCCCTTCTTCTCAGGACATGCCCAATACAGCGCCACCTTCTCTGTCTAACAACTAGTAGTATTAGTGGTTATAGAGTGTCCTGTTACGTTTTGGGGTGGGAATCAAGACAGCAGTGACCATAAAAAGGGCACACAACTCATAAACAGCAAGACACAAGACACAAATGAGGTGAGACGACAATGACCTTGGTCATTTGGAAAAGAAACACAAGAGTAAGATGGATGAAACTTGTTTCAGTCCCCCCAAAAAATCTAATGAAGCGGTTTGTTTGTTTGTTTTAGTATCCAGAAGCCATGAGTTGTTAACCCTTAGGCTCGGTATTATGGATATCGCAACCTTTCGGCCTTGATTCCACTGTAAATACCATTAATCTGGGAGAAATGTAGCTTTTCTGCCTACCTCTGGGAGTGAACCTGGACCACAAGGAGTTCGCCACCCGGTCACCGAGCAATCCGGTTTAGCCAAATACACTAGAGAACGGGCAATCCAGCTGGTAGATTATTAGAAAGGGTGAGATAATAAGTTAAAAATTTATATTGATTCAGCAATGGTAGGATAATAAAGTGCTTCAAGTGTCTGAACAATGTACTGCAGCAATCATAAAAGTTACTGGCATACTCCCCCTTTGAAAGAAAGTGACTGCTATTGTATCATTGTACCTGGAACCCTAGACACAATGACCTATAATACCAAATCAGCTGAAGATGTTCAGTTATCAAAACATCATTTAGAGTACTGCACAACATAAAACCGATGAATATTTAGCAATCATTAAGATGCCTCCTGATGCAACAAACATAGCACAGCTAAGCTAATAGAAACATATATTGTATACCTAGCAACACAGCCTGTTTAATACTCAACTCGACCTGTAATATTTACTGCTGCTGCTTTATACCATAGCCTCATATTGGTATCAAAGAGATATGTTACCACTGGCTAACAATGTGAGGCTAGCTGGTTTTGAATCGTCAAAAAGCAACAAGAATGCTATATTTTCCTAGAAAAAATAAATAAATAGCTTACAGGTTTGGAACCCAGTGATAGTCATGAAATCCCACTGGTATTAACCAAACCAAACTGCATTCTATAATTCAAATGCTGATAGTAAAAAAGCACAAAATCAGCTGTCCGATGGAGAATGTTCACCAGGTGAAACATTATGGTAAGGAGTAAGTGCCAACTGGTATAAAAGCATAAAAACTAAACTGCTAGAAATAAAACCCAAAAGTGAAAGACCTACAGTAATAGATAATGTAGGTTTGGAAACATTAAATGACTTTCCTGGGAAGCAATATCTCCTCGGATAGAAATATAGTGGTTGAAATCAAGTAGAGAAATGCAAAGGCAGCTGCTTACAAAAGACTTCAAAGTGTCTGAAGATCAAACCTCTACAGCACTAAAACTTAACTCACGATATACAAAACATATGTTAGGACAGTTCTCCTCTATAGAGCAGAAACTTGGAAAACAGACTGAAAGATAGAAAGCATGCTCAGAGGTTGAGGGAAGACTTCTCAGAAGATTGTTTGGGTTCACATGGGAAGATAAAATCAGCAATTCTAGATTACAACAAATGACAGACTTAGAAGATGTAAATTTAGAAATCAAAAAACGATGATAGAGGTGGATTGGACACATCCTCAGAAGAAAGAAAGAGAGATGGTCGAGACAGGCAATGCTGTGGACACTACAAGGACAGCGAGGAAGAGGCAGGCCCAGGGGCACTCAGAGGCAAACCTTTGAAGCTGAACTCAAGACTGTGCGAAGGACAAAAATGGAGATAAAGAGGATGGCTGAGGATTGAATTGAGTGGCGACAGTTTGTCTCTGCCATATGTGCTCTGGGCGCGATGAAGATTGATTGAAACAAGACTAGTCTATACAAATATAAGTCTAATACCATATACCTAATGTGCCAAAGAGGGTCTGTTCTTCTTCTTCTTTTTCTGCCTTTCTATCCCCAAATGGAGCACAGGCCCTCGACCAACTCACGCCAAGTCGTTCTATCCTTTGCCATTACATGGAGCTCTCCCCATGTCCTCCCCATCTTTCTAACTTCATTCTCCAGCTATCTTCTCTATGTGTTTTTTGGCCTTCCTTTATTCCTATGCCCCTGTGGGTTCCAATGCAAAGACATTCTAGTTATGCTGTTCTCCTGTTTTCTCAGTGTGTGACCTATCCAACACAGAGGGTCTGTTGCTTTACTTTAATGACTTATTTACCAGATACTCTATCATGAAGGTTTATATCCACTGAACATTGTATAGCCCTAGTCATTTAGTTTATGGCTCACAGCTCACCCCTAAGCATAAATCTAAATAGGTCATCAAACTGTATATCCTGTGTGCATAAATCTGAGGGTTACTTTAGTAAAATGACCATATACAGGAGGATTAAAAAATATATGGACACTATTCATAAAGTGTCATATTTACACAAGCTTCAAGAAAAGCAACCTACATCCTTCAAAATTAATATAAGCGAAGACATGACAAACGTTAATTGTACAAAACATACAGGTGCAAAAAACCAGAAAAAAAGAAAAAGACTCATAATGGAAAAAAAAAGGAAACATACTTATGCATGCATACAAACACACAAACAAACAAACAAAAACAGAAATAAAGACTGTACTTTATTCTCCAGGAATTCTGCCAATCTGATGGCTTCCTTCAAAATATATGTTGGTTTCCCATCACGAACAACTGCGGATATGACAAAAACAATATATATAATAAACATTCATGCAAAAAACTATGTATGGTAAGTAAGTAAAGGTACATTTTCTTGCATGATGAATCAGGCATCAGCTGCATCGGCATAAAGTGCTAGAAATATATTTTCATAGACCGATTGGTACTTGATCATTCATGATCTCAGCCTCATACCAGCTGCCTTTACTTCCACGGACATTGCCTGGTCCTCAGTGTAAGCTGGGTTGACCTAAGTTGAAAACAAATCTCCCCTGATTCGGATTTGAATTCTGGACCTTCAAACTAAAGAAAATGCAATACAATACACAGTTGTGTAACATAACATAGAAGTAAATTACATATTTCTATACACTGAGGTGTACTAGGCATTGGTCCATTTAACACTGGCTGCATTTACTTCCTTGGTACGCATTTTTTAGAGTTGGTTGACTGAATAGACTGCATACCCTGGGTGTACCAATTGGAGCTGTGAGACAGAAAACCCATACAGGAGCAACCCGTTGTTACATCACCCAGAATAGAACAAGAGTTGTAAGCCTAAAAACACATGGAGACCGGAGCATTTATGGTCATGTCTGATGTGCGATGAAGATGATCTCACAAATGAACAATAACCTGGAAGCCCAGGTCAACTGTAAAATCTGAACAGACTGTAATTTAAAACATTAAAAAAATAATGCTGCATGTGGTTTTGGAAGTAAGCTAATCAAGGTATCAAGTGTTAAAAATGGCCAGTGTGTGTTCCAGTAACCCAGTTTAGGAGAAAAGAAAGGGGATGACCCACTGCCATCTAACAACTATGTTGTAAAAAGAAGCTAATTAAAGGGTGTTAAAATCAGGTGTGTTGGACCGAGCAGCCTTGCTGTAAACCACAACACAATGTGCCAACTGGGGATCAGTGGATCAGCCCCACCCCAACCCTCAAACAACATGGCGGGAAGCAGAACCTACACTGGGAGATCTTAGAAAACAAATTGAAATAAAAAAAATAAAAAAAAAGATTCCCGTGTGGGTTCCCATTGGGAAAACAAGAATAGACCAATTTAATGACCCAAAGCATGGTGTAAAAGAGTCAACTAATTGGGAGCTTCCTTCGAAATCGGAGTAAATCTGCCTGAGAAGCAAGGAATCAACAGTCTGCATGCAAATGAGTGAGACCTGTTAAACCCATGTGCATGCACTACTTAGTTTCTGGAAAAGGGCTAAAGATCAGAAGCGGACGAACCAGAACTTTCCACCAGAGTTTACAGCTGGTGAGCACAAAAAGAAAAAGGAGAAGAAGAGCACAGCACCCTCCAGAAATCATTACCTGTAACTGTACCAATGTTTCCGACCAAACCTTCACCCTCAGTAACCTGCTGATTGTTCAGACTCATCTGTTCCACATCTAGTATCACAGTGCTCTCTGTATCACCATCCCTAACGGTGCAGCCAGTAACCGATGCACTAGCTTCACCGTGAACATGTCGCTTCTGCTGCTGTTCATCTGTAAGGCTTGATAAAGCCAGGAGTCTTGCCTTTTCCATGAAGCGCCTCTCTAATTCTGATGTCTGTAATCTCACAGTTTCTTCACATGTGTTTTCTGTACTTATTACCTTTGTTGTACCTAAAACTAAATTACTGTCATTGTGTACTGTCTGGGATACTAAATATCTGTGGAGAAACAAAACATTTATTTGTAACTTTGCAAATTAATTTACAACTATCAATTAAATACAAACTTAAAACTCAACTGACAGAACACAAACGTCACTAAGAAGTATAATAAACAGAGAGAAAATGAGTGAACTAACACAAGGTTACAATCAATGTTTCGACTTAACTCTTTATCCTTAATTTTTATGATATTTTAATTTAACTTATATGAACAGCTCCCAAAATATTTAACATGTATGAAGGAGCATTTGAAATCAAAAACCTCAATTCTCCACTGACACAACACAATTATTACAAGAACAACAAATACAGAGAAAATTAGAGAAGTGACACAAGGATACAATAAATGTTTCAACTTAACTATTTATCCGTAATTTTGATCATATTTTAGTTCAACTAACATGGACAGCTCTTAAAATATTAAACATGTATGAAGAAAGATTTGAGATCCATCACATTTTTTTGTTTGGATATAAAAAACATTTTTTTTAGTTATTTTATTTAGGGGCATCTTTACGCCTTTCCAGACGTTAGGGTTATATTGTGTCATGAGGAGGCATGGGACTCACAGCACATGGCGATAGCGGGTGTGACTAGCAAGACCGGCCCACGTTAAGACAAATCTTCCATAATTATAGCATGGGATTTCAAGACTGCTGTTGTCAACATTTGTATTTAGTTGTTTTTTTTCTCAGTCGCTCAGCTCTCATCCTTTCTAAGATAATTTCTTCTGTAGGACTGAATTGGATGTTTCACGCATACATTCGGGTCGGAAAATTTATCACTCAGCGCATCCTCTCCCTTCCCCTGACAGAACCCGGATTTAAAGTACAGTATTGGAGTACTAATCTACTTACACAGTTCATAGCTAGCTCCAGATATAAGGCCACAGAGCTGAAATGGGAATCCTGTTTTTTGTGTGGCTGGTGTGGCCGGTTGGTGGTAACAATTGTTATCTAGTAGATTTATACACAAATTGAACTACATTTTAATTAATTTGCAATATGTGTTTTTGAATGAATTATCATTTTGAAGATAAATATTCTAATAGCTCATTTATTTATCTTTTTCACAACATGTTGCAAATTAATTAAACTGTAGGTCAAAATGTGTATAAATCTACTGGCTAATAACTGTTACCACTGCGTTCAAATCCAGTCATCTCCTTGTGAGATGCAATTTTTTTTAATTTGAAGCCCTACTCTGGCTCTTGCCAGGGGCTGCAATATAGTCCGGCCATAAATATGGTCTAATGGCTGAATGTGGTTTCTGGGACCTCTCCATGGGTGATCCTCATCCACATGGTGGCACTTTGTGTCATCAGATTTTTACTGCTTGTGTGATGTCCTAGTGGGGTAAAAATCTACTACTACTGTTACCAGCATCTGGCCACGCTAGCCTCACAAAAAGGGGACTTCCCGTTTCAGCTGTATGGCCCTATATCTGGGGCTGGCCGTGCACACTGTTGCTGGGAGTAATTGTCAACTGTTCTCTCACGCTGCACCAGCTGTCCCTCACAAAATGTCAAACAGAGGCTATACTATAAAGATTTCACCCAACACATACTTATTCTTCTTTTTGTGCATTTGTCATTATAATAGCATTTGGTACATTTTAATGTGGTTTACAGGTAGACTATGATATCTGCACCTTTCAGCCCAACACATCTGATTTGAGAAGAGCCTTAATTAGTTGCCTTGTTATGGCATCTTTTATACAAGGCAGTGGGTCTATTCTTTCCTCTGCACCGCGATTGGGACCCAAACCCACAAAGGGAACTAACATATAATAACAAAGAGCAAGCTCAAGAAGTAAACAAGACACAGAGAAAACAGCAATTAAAGGGAACAACAGCAGAGTAAACTAACCCATTGGCAGCAAGTAACTGTTGCACGTGGCATCTGGTCACTTCCAGGCGGAGATCTGTCAGTGAGTTTTTACCATCTGCGCCCTCTTTATTGACAGCGTTTATATAAACTGAAGTGTTTATTTTCTTTTTAGTGTGGCCATATTTACCAGCAAGATCTTGTACCTGAAAGTCAAATTAAATAGAGACTGTTTATTGATTCAGTATTGATAAGTGGATTACTTGTGGGGTACTCTTTTTGTTGTTAAAAAATACCACACAGCATGGTAGTAGTCACCTAACCTAGCCACATAAAAGGCTGAGATGTTCAGAGGTATGTGAATGTGGAAATTACCATCTTATTCATTATAAGATAGAAATAATAGTAATTTCTGGCCATATCAAGTGTCATGTCACAATGGTTTAAAAAAAAAAACTAGAAGGAATGGGTCCTGGATAAGAGTCTGGTTTAAACCAGAACTAAGGTTGAAATTAGACACCAGGCATGAAAACACACTAGACATAATAAAGAAAATAATGAATAAAGAAATGATAGGACTGCACTTTAGACATGCACATGCTTCATTTTTTATACATATATTTTCATTTCCTGCTCAGTGTTGTCCAGAACCTCTGTTTGTCTTCTTCTTCGGGTTCACCAGCTTTAAACTCTGCAGAAAGTTCTAGTTGTTCATCCACTTCTGGACTGTAGTCCTGTTCCAGAAACTGAGTTTTGCATGTGCATCCGTTTTACAGATCTGACTCATTTGTATGCAGACTGCTGGTTCCTTACCTCTCAGGCAGATACACTCCGACTTTAAAGGAAGCTCCCAGTTAGTCGACTCTTATGACATGCTTTTAGGTAGGCAGTGGGTCTATTCTTGTTTTTCCTACAATAGGGCCCTGGAACCCACACAGGGACCTTTGTTTATGACTCGCTGAGCTAGTCTTGCCAAATAAAGATACCCTGAACCATCTATTCTGACACCAAAGAGCCTTTACCACATCGGTCTATCAGCCTACTCATTGTCCTGTATTCTAGTCAGAAAATTAAAAATATGCTACTAAGTCTCATGAAGCAATGCAAATCACTCTATATATAGAACACCAGTTTCTATTAGGGCTGTACCGAATATTCGCTTCGTATTCGCTTCGGGGCCGAATAGTGGACCTATTGACTATTCGGTATTCGGCCAAATAGTGGCGGTCGAGCCGAATACGAATAGTAGTTACCTTACACCCGCTTAAGCATACACTGCCTTAATGCTGACAACATGGAATGATTGGTTTTGTTAAAAGCTAATGCAGCTTTCCTGCATTAACTAAGCTGTCAGTGACAATTTCCAAGTTTAAATACTTGTTATAATACTTAGGATTCTTTCATTCGTAGTTATTAGTTACCACAGACTGACTGAAGGATGAAAACATAAAATGTTTTTAAAATTTTTACGAATACTAACTAGACAAGGAAAGAATAAAAACTCAGTCCACATCCAAGGCGATAATATGAAAATCAAACGAACGAAAACATATAAGTACTTGGGTGCAAACTTCAGCTGCTCCAACATGCTGAGAGAAGAAATACAATCTAGAATAAAATCTAGAAATAAAGTATACTATGCCCTTCAACATCTGCTAAAGTCAAAGTTGCTGTCTCGCAATACCAAGATCAAAATATATAAAACGTTGATAAGACCAGTCTTTTTATATGGCTCTGAAACTTGAAGCAGAAATAAAAGAGATGAGGCCTTATTACAGGTTTTCGAAAACAGTCTTACGACAAATCTTTGGACCCATCAAAGATGCTAACAGCGGGGAATGGAGAGTGAGAAGCAACAACGTAACACATAATCTGTTTAAATCACTATTGATCACTGGCATCATGAGACTGACAGACTGAAATGGTTGGGGCATATTGAAAGAATATCAGATGGCAGAGAAGTAAAAAATGTATACACCTGAGAGAGAAATGGGCGTAGATCACGAGGCAGACAAAAAAGAAAGTTCGAGAGATAATGTCCACCCAGAACTGCAAACAACTGGTGTCACAAATTGTGAAGATAAGGCTAGCCAGAGAGATGAATGGAGACGAGTGATATCTGCAGCAGTAAACCACCAGGGTTCAGAATGCTAAAGAAGAAGATGACTATTCTGTGCTACTTTATGTGAAGTAAAAGTTCAGCGTACATTTGACATTATGAATGTGTTTTTAAAATTTTTTTAATATATATTTTATACACTATTCGTATTTGTATTCGGCCGAATAGTTGGTCCCACTATTCGTATTCGGCCGAATAGTGAAAATCACTATTCGGTACAGCCCTAGTTTCTATATTCTTTTTCTATATTCTTAACATTGCTCCACAAACCCTGACAAAACTGTACAAACCTACAGCTGTCAGAAAGCTGCTGTTAGGCCTCCATCTCCATTTTCATGCTGGATGCTGATACAATATTTAAGAGGTAATTTGTTTTTTGTTTTGTTTTAGCAATTCTTACTTTTTGCAATAAAAATGAAATTAGAAATGAGGGGGAATGTGAGTCTCTCTGGCTGGCCAAGATGGGAAACATGTTCTAAAAAAGGATCTGTTAAATGATGATGCTTATCAAATCACAGGAAATGGATTTGAAAGAGTTAGTGCAATTGTTATGGTTACCCCAACACAGCCTACCATCATCTGGCTTCTTATGTTATAAAAATACACAGTCTGTGAACCACACCTGGTCTGCTTTAGTATATAGTTTACTTTTTCAGAATGAGTTTAAATCATCATGAAGGAAAACTGCTTGCACAGTTTTATCAAGCTTGAGATTTAGTAGATTTTATTATTCCCCCCAGGTTTACTTTACCTGCGAGCCGCTGTGGTGTAGTGGCTAGATACTTGTGTGCGGACCTGAATATTGTGGGTTCAAATTCGAATGCAGCTGGATTTGTTTTAAAAAAATGACTTTGGCTCCCTGGTCGACCCAGCCTTATATGGGTACCAGGTAAAGTCCTGGGAGGTAAAGCTGGCTGGCAAGATGTTGACCACATCATCCACTGAGTGCTGATCGCCTATAAAATATAGGTCTAACATTATATGCTCAATAAGCCTGAAGCATGGAAAAGGGTCTTTCACTTTCACTTTCCTTAGCCTCTGACTGTCCCTATTCAAACTGCAAGACAACAGGAGTGTCTCCATCCTTGTCTGGTTCCTCTCTATGGACTTGTCCAATGTGAAAGATTCCACCAGTAACTAAGCTTCCATCAGAATAACTTTTGGGGTCAGTGGAACACAGAAGATCCTCTACCACTACAATGTAAAGACACATTAGAAAAAAGGTGTTTAAACAATGAAAAAAGAAGTTCAGCCAAACTGCCTATCACAGATGGAGTTCGAGTTAACAAGCAGACTGAAACAGGTAATTTTGTTTATAAACTGGGAATGGTCAGTGGCTTCGGAGACCTGAGCTCCCAGGTTCCTGCCCCTTTGCCTGGAACTGAAAAAGTTCAACTCATTTCCACTACAGAAAATCATTCCCTCTCTACTACAACTAGGTTGTCCTCAATCTTATGATTACTTCCACCAGCCCTATATTACTGCAATAACTGCAAGCCAGGTTTCAGCACCTATGCCTGGAACTGAAAAACTCATTCCTCTATAGAAAATTTCCCTGTATACCACAATAAGGTTGCTAGCAACTTCCAGCAGTTCTCTGATACTGCAGTAACTGCAAGCAAGATCTTAGAATGGATAGTAACTGCAAGCAAGATCTTAGAATGGATAGTAACTGCAAGCAAGATCTTAGAATGGATAGTCTATGGTAGTGAGAGCAAGGACATTTACTGTAGACAGCTTTGAGAAAAGCAAGTTAACTCTTTCATCCAAGGCAGTTTTGACTTCCAAAGCTTTCTATCCCAGTGATTCCGTACTGTTGAGCACAAATATGTGAGCTCACTGCCTCTCAATGAGTTACATAATGCACATGTAGTTTTTGTTTTTTTTAAATATTTAACTACATTTTTATATTTTTAAAATTAAAATCTATAAAGATATGTAAAGGGCTAATAAAAAAACATGAACACAGTGAAGCACTAAATGGAATACATTACCTGGAACCTAAAACAAAATTTATTTGCTCACTCATTCTATGACCATGTGACCTATATCACTGAGGCTAATGGGGACAATCTGAAATCAGCATGGCTTTTAATAAGCCAGTGGGGTCATAAGGAAACACCCCTCAATGCTATATTCATATGCTGGCTCATTAGACATCACACAGGTGCACACTGGACCAACAGGTTTTAATTACACTTTTTGAGAATTGGTCACTGCAGATATGGTCATAAATCGGCATTTTAGGGGGCTGCAATTCAACCTGAAGTGACTAGATTTCAGCTTCTCTGAGCGAAAAGGTTGAAGTACATTCTGAGACAGATGGACTGAGTAAGTGTGAGATGACGCATGTGAAACTAAGAAAGGTACAGAGCCATCATTTAACGTATAGTCAGCTGCTTGGTACTGAAAGAGTCAAGCAGCACTCTCACTGTAATGATAAATTTGCAACCCAAGATAGCTTTGGAACTTAAAATTCGGTTACAATACAACAGATATGAAGGAGAGTCAGTGGCTGTGGTTAAGGGGTTATTAATGCAGTTTCTTATTTCTGACAGTCAGAATGACTCAGTTCAAAGTGAACTGTGAGCTATTTGACAGAAGACTGCTTTGCACTAATTTCAGTAAAAGCATAGAATAATTCAGACAGCCATGGCAAAAAGGGGTTATGAATGCAATTGCTTAATTCTAACAGTCAGAATGACTGGCAAAGTGAAGAAACATTCCGAAAGCCACGGCAAACCAATTAATGTTTTAGTCTTAGTCAAGGTTTCAACTTCACTGCAATTGGAATTTCCCATACCTGCTCTGTTTTTGTGCCAGTGTAAATCAAAACAAATCAAATGTTCCTCACTGTCGCATCTGATGAACAAATAATTAGTCCCGGAACAATCCAAAATATGCAGATGCTGTAAACGCATATGGCAGAGGTGCCAAAGCCAACAGTCGCCACCAGAAATATAGTTTGTCGTTGATGGAAGTAGTCAAACACAATAAGTTGGCTATATACACGTAGAACCACCAAACAAGGTATTTAATCAGCTCCCATGTAAACCAGCTGCTGACCATATTGAACACCACTACACAACCGCTGCACAAAGGAAAGGCATTCCACATGAAAAACACAGCTCACAGGGCTGCAGAGAAACCATAACTACTAAATGTAACACTGTCTAGTAATACTGCAAGCAGCCAACAAAGGCTGGGGTTGTGACACCCTAAAGAGGAAAGCAACTAACTCTTTTCACGTAGAAGAATGTTGCCATAAAGGGAATTTAACTCTTTTCAGGCAGAAGAATGTTGCCATAAAAGAAACTAATCTTTTCATGCAGAAGAATGTTGCCATAAAAGAAACTAATCCTTTTCATGCAGAAGAATGTTGCCATAAGAGAAATTAACTCTTTTCATGCAGAAAAATGTTGCCATAAGGGAAACTCTAACTCTTCTCATACAGAAGAACGTTGTTGTCAGGGTACCATGTGACTATGGGATGACTGCAGATGATGATGATGATAAATAGTGAGCTTGTGACTGAACAAAGGCGATGAAGCAACGGGTTTTTCCGAGAGGTTTGTGCAAGACTGAGCAGTGCAGGAGTTAATCGGAAAGGAAGGGGGGGGGGGGGGGTGTTGGAGAGAAATGGACTTTGGGGACTAGATAAGACTAACTCTTTTCATGCAAAAAAATGTTGCCATAAGAGAAACTATTTCTTTTTATGCAGAAGAATGTAGCCATAACACACTTACCTCCTTAAACACAGCTCTACAAAACTGAACTCTGTCCAAGTGAAATGTCAGAATACTGAATTTGTCAGCAAAAACTTTCTTTATAAACTTCTCTTTTAATTTTTCTGAGGACTGCTCCAAAAACTCCAGAATCTGTTGAATAAAATATTCATTATTCACATATTAAAATTACATAAATGATACTTAGATACAAGTTTTGACTACAAATATTACTGCGATTTAAGACTTGGATGTCTGTTAGTGAAACTGAAAATGCCAAGGTGAAAGATATTTTTTTTAAACAATTGAAAAAAAAAAAAAATACACCACACAAGCATGTGGGGAAATTAGGGGCACAGACTTACGCTCAGCTGAAAGTAATTCCTGAAGTTAGGAGACAAAGGAAGTATATGACACACAGTTCAACACCATTTCCTAGTGACCTAATTAATGAACAGAAGATGAATCAAATTATATCCAATACCCACAGGAGGGACTAAGTCACCACCCTTCAAGTCCAAGTCGGGTCCCAAGTCGTTACCACCAAGTCAAAAGTCATCAAGAATGCCTCCAAGTTAAGTTACTTCATGTTTCAAGTTATCTGCAAGTTGTGCATGGGACAATGCTTAGAGATCAATCAAAAATGGCAAAAGTAAAAAAAAAAAAAATATCAGAAAAACCACTAACTATACACAAAAGCTAAAGAAGTCAAATCTGAAAGCTTGATGAAACAAAACAAAATTTGTTCTGTCACGTTTTACATTAAGACGTTTTAAAATGTGATGTTGATTACCAAATGACGTTGACTATCAAACCATTCGTTGGCCAGCTGTAAAGAATGAATTGTACCAAGTACAATAAATGAAGCTGCAAGTCACAAATCCAGCCGTAAGTCACTGGACAAAACTTCAAGTTGAGTCACAAGTCATTAATTACACGACTTAAGTCGGACTCAGGTAAAAGTCACACGACTTCAGTTCCGACTTCTGCTAGTAACACAGAGAACAAAAGGCAGCTGTGAGACTAAGTCATAATAAAAAAGATTTGATATAGGACAAACAGTCATGAAGTCAGAGGTTGCATTCTGTCCTCTTATCTACATATAGTTCTTCTACATTTGCCCTAAAAAGCACAATGGGCATACTGTGATGTGGTTTACAGCTAGGTGTAAAATCTGCATCTTTCGGCCCAAAACATTTCAATTTTCAGCAAAGCCTTAATTAGTAATTGTCAGATTATATTAGTTATTAGTAGCGTTGCTAATGGATTTCCAAAGTGGAAGCTGAGGTGCTCTTTTGTTTGGCTGTGTAGTGGATTCATTGCAACTGTGAAATTAAAGGAGAACTTCTTCTTCTTCGCGTTCACCAGCTGTAAACTCTGGTGTAAAGTTCTGGTTGTTCGTCCACTTCTGGACTGCAGTCCTGTTCCAGAACCTGAGTGTTGCGTGTGCATCAGTTTTACAGATCTGATTCAATTGAATGCAGACTGCTGGTTCCTTGCCTCTCAGGCAGATGCACTCCGACTTCAAAGGAAGCTCCCCAGTTAGTCGACTCTTACGACATGCTTTTGGGGAGGCAGTGGGTCTATTCTTGTTTTCCCCACAATAGGGCCCCGGAACTGACTCTCAGGGAGAAACTATTTTTCCATACTCTTTTTTTTTTTTAAAGATGAAAGAATTATTTTAAGATAAGTATTAGTAGTCATTGCAGAGATACCAAACCTGTTTTAATCTTCTTCTTCTGCCTTTCTATCCCCCAATGGAGCATAGGCCCTCAACCAACTCACGCCAAGTCGTTCTATCCTTCGCCATTGCATGGAGCTCTCCCCATGTCCTCCCAATCTTTCTAACCTCATTCTCCAGTTCTCTTCTCCATGTGTTTTTTGGCCTTCCTTTATTCCTATGCCCCTGTGGGTTCCAATGCAAAGACATTCTAGTTATGCTGTTCTCCTGTTTTCTCAGTGTGTGCCCTATCCAACGCCAGCATCTTTTCCTCACCTCCTGATCCACTGGAGCCTGTTTAGTTCTCTCCCAAAGTTCTACATTAGTTATTCTATCATACCATTTTATTCCCTCTATTCTGCGCAGGCACCAGTTAGTGAATGTCTGTAATTTATTAGTAATTGCCTTGGTTATTCTCCATGTTTCCGACCCATACAATAGTACTGATTTGACATTAGAATTAGTTCACTAGTTTTAAGTAAGCACTTTATGAGTTAGTGATTACTGTTTTAATCACTAACTCATAAAGTGCTTACTTAAAACTAGTGATCTGGTAGCCATTATAAAATTGTTTGTTAGGTCATGCCAAATGATAAAGACATTTTTTTAATGTTATCTGTACATTTTCCCTAAAAAGTACAGTGGTCATACTGTAATGTGGTTTACAGCTAGGTGTGATATCTGCACCTTTCGGGCCAAAACATTTCAATTTCAGCAAACCCTTAATGTTTACAACACTGCTATATTCTTCTGTCAAACTCAATATATCCCAACTAAAAGACAACCCAATCAGGTGGGTTACTGTTAAGCAAGATACTGTTAGATTATATTAGTTATTAGTAGCATTGCTAATGGATTTCCAAAGTGGTAGTTGACAAGATGCCATTTTGTTTTGCTCATCATCATCATCATGTGCCCTGCCAACTGGCGTAGGCACTTAAGCGTCGCCACAGATCACGATCCCTGGTTGACTGGAACAGATCTCTTGATGATATTCCTCCATGCCATCATTTTAGCCCATCCAGCATCATCTCTCTTGGTCTGCCTTTACCCCTTTTCCACTGATCTTTCCAGTTGTCACGATGTTCTCCAATGTCTTATGTGGCCAAAGAATAGTGTTTATCTCTTTCATATTGTTGTATATAGAAATCTACTTTTATTAGCCTCTTTCAAGCAATCGTTGTTAGTTACTCTGGCCATCCAAGGTATTGCTAACATTCATCTCAAAGACCACATCTCTGTTGCTTCCAAATTATTCTTAATTTTTTCAGTGACATTCCAAGATTCGCTGCCATACATCAGAATAGGTTCTATGTAACATTTTAGCACCCTCTTTCTGACATTAAATATTTTGCTGCGCAGTGGATTCATTGCGACCTTGAAAATAAAGAAGCAAGACCATCAATGAGAAACTATTTTTTCCAGTAATAATAGTTTTTGCAGAGATGCCAAACCTGTTTTAATTACTAACTCATAAAGTGCTTACTTAAAACTATTGAGCTACTAGCCAGTTTTTTATATAAATTAGGTTAGGCCGGATATTATAGACATTTTTCTTATGTTATCCGTATGTCAGCCTCATCAGTCCGCACAATATGGTATACACCTTGCTGGGCTCGTTAGCAGATAACCAAAAATGTATACAGTGTTTACTTAAAATTGGAAGCTGGTTGCCATTTTTATTTGTTCATTAGGCCCATATTACATCATATGTTTTTAAGAAATGCATATACAGTAGGCCCCACTGCAGTGATATATAGCTGGTAAGAGATTTTTTCTTCTTCTTTTAAACAGTGCCATAAAATGCATACATTTAGTAATTTCAAGCATTCATTTTTACATTAATAAAACTGAACGAAAAGTTGATCAGCGAGTTTCACAATTTAACAAAAACAAATAAAAAGTGAACGCTGCAGCTACAGAGCCTTCATCAGCAGATATATAAATCAAATAAAACCACACAAATACACAAAATGACTTAACTCATGTATCACGAAGCAGCCATGTTTATGTCTTGTCAATGGAATAAAAAGACGTGCAGTACAGGAATAAATAAATAGAAAATGCTTAGAGCCATAACTTGAAGACTTTAGATGAAACTGTATTGATAGTTAAGTTCCCTTGGTGTTTGTGCACTCAAGGTGAAAATAAACCAATTCTCAAGAGATTTGAGGTCTCTTGTCGTTGGAGTGGCTAGATTAAACGGCCGTCACCTCCACATCGAGGACACCTTGGTGATTCTGAGAACTGAAGTGCAACGGGACTGGTTTCTGGGCACAGTTCAGCACATCCAAAATATGTCTGAACCAGTCAACCAGTCGCTGACATATTTTACAAATGCATTCCATGCTACATCTTTTGCAGCTGATAGTGTAAATGACAGTGCAGCTCGTGCAATAGAATGCCTCATGTCTGTGGAAGGTAGCTTTTGGAAATTCCAGACTTTTCCCCTGAACCACATACGACCAGTCTTGCATACAATATATCAATATACAGGTCATTGGCAATAGAGGACACAGCTCAGAATCCATCTTTTGTCAGGACACATTATTATTTGTCTATTAATAAAGTAACAAAAAATGTATTGATCAACACTTATAGAAAGAAATAGAAAGATAGAAGAACACAGTGGACAAAATGAAAATCGAAAGTTATAGTTACCATGCTGGGAATCGTTCCTGTTTATTATTGAGGCTATCCTCCGAATAATGGCTACATATTATGGCGGTCAAAAACACACCCTTACAGGGCCTCAATAACATGTAAATTGCGGACTTCCTCCGGCGAACACATAGCGACAAAACTAGGATTACTATCCATTGACAATTTCAAGAAATGGAACAATACACACGATAATAGCGACATGGCAGGGAGACCACGCACTCCAACGCAGGTTAGCGATAGTGTTCTTCCGATTAAACTCACCACCGAGCGTATTCCCGTGCCGCTACGCGTTGTGCGGTTGGGGGGCTAAACTAGGTGGCTGAGACTCACGAGCAGCAGCTACTGCATCTCCTGCAATTTCCTCCAATTTATTTGCTCATGAGTCCCAGCTATCTAGTTTAGCGCGTAGCAGCGAGGGGGATACTGTCGGCGGTGAAAACTGTTACCAATGCCGCACTAGCCGCGCCTTGTTTTGATCATATTTAGCCGAGTTTCAATGGTGCCACAGCATCAAAGAGCAGATTTTGGGGCACTATTTGCAACTTTAACTTCTGTGCCACTATTTTCACATATAAAGGTGGTACTACACCACTACAGACTACAATATTAATATCTCCAAATATAACTGACTTACAGGTTTTATTTAGGTATGGTTGGATTTGTTATTTTAATCTCTGTCTAAACGTGACAGTTTCATAAGTAAAAACCCAACATTTAAAACTTCACTAGCATCCCTAATTAAATAATAATAGGGCAGAAGAAGAGCCGATTGGGGACTGCTGTAACTGTACTGTACCTCTGTTTTCTTTGCATCGTTGAGTCTCAAGATTCCCGTTGGGATAAAAACATCACCAGACTTCAAGTGTCGTGTTTTCTTTATAAGTTTTACATGGTTTTTCTCTTCATTTAAACCAACACGAACCAAGGCGCCCTGGACTATTCTTTCTAGTTCTTGAAACACTCGAGATACAATGCTGTCCGCCATTGTTGATGACACCGGATATACCCAATGAAATCGAAAGTCAGTTCTGACTTGGAACTTATGTATTTCACTTACTCACACTATCAACTGTCTGGTCCATAAAAACTAACAAATATGTACCTAACCAGACGTAACAGAAGTGATCTCGCTGGCGACTACATATCTAAACATATGAGGATGCTCAGTGCTGGTTGTCTGTATACCTGCACATAGGGAATATATGGGAGTGAAAGTGCAGATAGATTTAGTCTTAGATGTGACCACCGCCTTCTCCAGAGCCCGGCCGTGGTCGTGAGTCGTGACTCGTGACCTCCGGTAGTGTGTTAGTCTTAGTCGAGGTTTCAACGCATCACTGCAATCGAGTTTCCCCATTAAAAAATTAGCAGTGGGGCTAACTGGTAGGTGACAGCAATAGCCTTCTTTATTTCGTAAACATGCTTCCTAGATATTTGAATTCTCGTACTTGTTTGATTGTTGTACCATTAACATGAACGTTCATATTTTTATGTTTTGTGCCTTTCCTCATTACCTCAGTTTTCGCTGTGTTTATTCTCATGTTATACTCTGTGCAGGCTTGATATAAGTGTAAATTCTGTTCTTGGTGTGTATTAAGCGTCGATCGTGTGCTAAAAGAAGTTCATTGATTTCTTCAGTGTCTGTATTTGCCTACTTTGTAATTTTATCCATGTAAGTAATGAATAGCAAAGGTGAGAGGACACATCCCTGTCTGACACCTGATGAGATAGGGAACCAGTCTGTCATTCCTCCTGTTGTTCTTACTGTGCACTATCTTGATAAAGAGCCATGATGTTATTCATGACCTCCTGGAGCTATTTCTGCTTGAACCCGACCGAGATGTTATCCCAACAGTTGATTTTGAATACCATATTCTTCTAGAATTTTTCATAGTTTGCATCTATTGACCCGATCGACTGCCTTCTCTTGATCTTTAAATATAATGCGTTGACTTTTATCACAGGCAGTAGGCTTCTCGCATGTCTGCCTTAAAGAAAAATATTGCATTTGTTCAGCTCCCTCCCTTCCTGAAACTAAACATTTTCTAACTTAAAATCTCTTACAGTCAGAAATTACTCAGAATATAATATTGACTGATTTGCTTTACTATACAGGAAGAGATCAAAAGTACAATAAATAGAACGCTATTTGCTGGAGTGTAATAAGTATGAAATCCAAATAAAACCATAAGTAACTATTCGAAACTTTGTAAATTACCCATGATGATTGAGTAGTAGTAGTAGTAGATTTTTACCCCACCAGGACATCACACAAGCAATAAACACCCGATGACACAAAGTGCCACCATGTGGATGAGGATCACCGTGGAGAGGTCCCAGAAACCGCGTTCAGCCATTAGACCATATTTATGGCCGGGATATATTGCAATCCCTGGCAAGAGCTAGAGTAGGGCTTCAAAAAACGAAAAATTGCATCTCACAAGGAGATGGCTAGATTATAGCTAATGATGATGGAAAATTGTTGCACAAATATAGCTCCAGGGAGCTAGGTGGCAAGGCCAAACACAGAAAGGAGTTTAATGTAGTTTTCTGTCTTTTACTAGTTGTGTAGCTTGTGTTCATGTTTTAGGTGTGCTAATGCTTCCACTGAAGCTAATGGTCAAGGGGGGTATATTATATTATCAGTACGATGTATTTTAAAAGTTAGCTACCTAAACTGTAACAGAAGCCGCCAAGGTGTAGACTGTAGAGCTTAGACGGTCACCTCGCGGCCGAAGGTTGCGGGTTCAAATCTCCATCGAACTGGATTTTAAAAAAAAAATAATCTCGGCTCCCAGGTTGACCCAGCCTAAAGTCTTGAGTACCAGATACAGTCGTGGGAAGTAAAAGCGGTCGGTGTGGTGTTAAACACATCACCCACCGAGTGTCGACTAGTGTATAACACTCTATACATAGTATGCCTATGGGTGTGAAAAGGGAACCAGAGGGCGTGAGAACTTCCAATTATTTTATAAGGTTGGTGACCAATTCCCTTCCTCAGCTTCTAGTGATCTCCCGTTCTCAGAGCACTCACATATTGTAGGCCCCCTCGTGTTGATGTTACTGAGAAATGTAACTGCCAGTTCAGATTGTAAAAGCACACTCACTTTCACAAATTTCATAATTTTAAAAAGAGATAACTAAATAATACGTTAGTTGCAGAGTCTTTCACAGAAGTCTTATTATACATAAATTGTGAGCATATATTTTGCGTGAAAAGAAAAACCGCCGAATCGTATTGTCAGTGTTGCCAGCCATTCCCCTTTTTCTGCTTCTTCTCTTCCCCCTTCTTTTATGTTTCTTTTTTTTTTTTTTTTTAAACATTCATATTATCCATACAGTTATTTGAACACAACATGCGTTATTGATAAAATATAATTGAACTGTGAGAGATGGGCGTTTGGACGGGATGAATTAAAAACGGGCCTGTGACCTTTTAAAAATAATGTTCATTCATTCGTTCAACTCCCCCCCCTCCCTTTTTTTTATGTTTGCTTCGCTTTCTCCAGGTATGTCAACGAAATGTGTAGAGAGGGTGACGTAACAGCAGTGCTCACCGAGACGGACATTCGTTTGACACTTCTGGCTTATTTGCCTGCAGACTGTTGGTTCCTTGTCTCTTAGGCAGAAGCACGCAGACTGCAAAGGAAACCTCTAATTAATCGGCTCTTACAACGTGCTTGTTAGGGAGGCAATGGGTCCACTCCCCCTCCCCCCCCCCTTTTTTTTTTCCATTGTCCACAGTAAGACTTATGAACACACAGGAAATATAGTTTAATTTACAACTAAACCATAGTTTTTCCCCACTGGAAAGAACAGTGGCAGTACCCACCATAAAGTGTCTAAATAAGTGCCAGTATAAATCATAAAGTGTCTAAATAAGTGCCAGTACTCACCATAAAGTGTCTACTGCAATAGCCCTGAAACAAATTATGCCATGAAAAGGTCACGTTGAGTACCGCTAGAAACAGGAGCCCTTACTTCTGACAAAGCAGATATGTTTTCTGTCGTGTTATTCAGCCAACGTAGAGAAAAAAAAACCGTTTCAACATGTTTGTTCTAGTGGAATATTGTATGTGCCATCTGCTAATGACACAAATTAATAACAAAAGCCTTAACTACTGACAAGGCAGATGTTTTCTTTTCGTGTTAATTCAACCAACGCAGAGAAAGGAAATACAAATGATCAACATGTTTGTGTTAGCGAACTATTGTATGCACCATCTGCTAATTAAAAAAATTAAAATAAAATATATTAGGGGCAAGACAGCGCCAGGGGATGTACAGGCCGAAACCTGTTAGTTGTTTTGTCCAATTAAACGAAGTATCCCCACGGCCACGCTTGCCTTATCTTATGCAGTTACCAGTAATGTTTATATATGTGTTAGAGATGCATGACATAATCTGCTATATTTAGTCCGTGTTCTATTGGCAGCAACAACATCGTTGCATAGCTAGTCGTTTTCGTCGGCGTTCGATCCAGCCGGCAACCACGAGCACGCAGAATCCAACCCTTTTGAAGGCATTTTTTTTTCCAGTGCTAGTGTAGGCATTTTCTTTCAGTGCTAGTGTAATAGATACATTGTGGCTAGTTCCTGCAACTTTTAAAAGATATTGTGTTGTGAACAGCACTTTTTCTAGAAACAGAAGCTGCGGTTACAGTCCAAATGTTACAGTTACAAGCTCTCAGTAACCAACGAGTCGAGTGTGGAATTTGGGGAGGGGGGTGTTACTATGTCAGAAATGTATTAGGATAAATATACAATATATATTTATATGAAAATCAGGTTCTCCTTGCAATAACGGTCGCTACTTGGACGGTAACGGCCGCTTAGTCGGAGTTCAGTCCCCTGGCTGCAGTGCAATTATGGAGTGGACAAGGCACGAATCACAAAACACAGTGAGTTCAACATGTCGTCTAGACCACGCGCTGCGACTCAGATTAGCCTAACCCTAACCCAAACCCTAACCCTACCCCTAGCCCTAATTATGTCATTTGTGTCGTTCCCTCTTTTCCACTCCGAAATTGCACTGCAGCCAGGGCACTGAACTCCGACTAAGCGGTTGAATGGAGTCCATCACTCTTACACTTGAAGAAATAAAGGGACTCTCTCTCCCCCCCCCCTTCCCCCTCCGATATAGGAAATAAAGTATAAAGGGCACTACAGTTTGATGATAATACTGTTGTTTTGTGCTATCCGGGGTGTAACAACAACTAGCACACGGTCAAGTGTCCAAGGATACACTTTTCGCTTCCACACATACAACTCTCAGGAAAAATCAACGACGTAATGTCCGCCATACGTATACGTTTATTGTCACAGCACAGAGGGTAGTCACAATCCCTCACAAGCGAAGTGATGTAGACATCTGTCCTGGCTAACCTGTAGATCTAAACCCCTCCTGTCGCTCGCCTCTCAAGTATAGCGTAGCTCTCCCGGACAGCTAGCTTGGTTCCAACCCACATGAATCAGCACTCAACACCATCTCCTTTCCCCTCCCCAAATGACAACTAACTGAAGCTGATGAAGGCTAATCGCCGCAACGTCCTTTGTTTGTTTATTGTGATCGATTTTGTAAAGCTAACATAAACTATTTGTTCTTTCTTACCAACTTTTTCTCTTCCCTATAATTTTCTACTGTTTTAAAAATAGCTGAAATAAGTGACGTTGTCAGTTGTGAAGTTAGCAGTTGCGTTGCGAGCTCAATCTATAAATATAATACATTTCGAGTGTATACAGATGGTTCAGCCAAGAGAGCAGTAAGAAACGGAGGAGGAGGAATATACATAGAATGCCCAAATGGTTTAAAAATCAACCAGGCTGTACCAACAGGTTCATATTTCTCCAATTTCAGAGCAGAGGCAGAAGCACTTCTAGTGGCATGTTCTTTCCTGAATGGACAACAGCACAGCAAATATAACAGAGTGGTCTTTCTGACTGATGCTATGTCAGTTCTAAAAGCAATTGTTAACCCAAAAGACACTCA